GTAGTCGCGACGTATGCATCGCGTCACGTTGCACACATATTCGCGTTCACGACTCGCCGGAGTGCCACGCGCGCGCGCGCGCGCGCAAATCTCCTTTTCGCATCGCGACTCACCCCTCGTCGCATTCTCTTTGTAGCTGCTCGCTGCTCTCGGACCGAGTAAGCGCACGTAAATCGCGAAATTATCAATTTAAAGGTCGTCGCGCGCTCTCGTAAGTGTGCGAGTTTTGCCGGCGCACGCTCGCGTCGCCGGTCGCGAGGTTGTTGGCCAATTAAGGTCGCGACGAGTTATTAGCGACGAATTTATGCCTGACGGGGAGACTTCGGCACCGAGCGCGATCGATGTCGTCCGGCCGCTGTTAACGAGAGAGATCCGCGTGGCTCTTATAAAAGTTATAATACGCGCGGGCGCGTCTCAACGCGTCTTTCGTGCAGGGTCTCGATTAAAGCCACTTGTTAGCGGACATTCTCAGAGTAATGCGAGGCAACGGTGCACGCGCGGCGAGTGCATTGAGCTGGCCTCTCGTGCAACACAGCACGCGCTGCGCTCGGGCTACACACACACACACACACACACTCGTACACGTGCGATCCTTACACGACGATGGAGAATACAACTCGCGCGCGCGCGCGCGCGGCGCATACAGTTATAATTGCCGCGATTCCGAAAGGTGCACGGTTGCGACTCCGTCTACGATTACCCATTGCCCGGATGAGTATCTCGGATCACGGCGAGCGACGGTTGGATAAATTATGAAAGCGCACGGAAAGAAACATTTCAGTTTGCGCGACTGAATATAAATTTCGTCTGATATTCGCAGACAGCAGGAAGGAAATTCTGTTACATCAACGGAGTAGTTTTTTCCATTCAGTCGCGCCGGATCTCTGCCTCTATTTCTCTCCGTCCGCGTGCACGCGTCCCGGCGTTTTTTCTAGCTGCGGCCGTCGTACATCGTCTTGCACATTACAACGCCATAACGCGGATACACGCTGATATAAATCAAAATTCTTGATCGGAAGATTCACGGTTGTCGAGAGCACGGACGAGCAGCGGAAAAAAAGGGAAGACCGCGTCGAGGACTCTTGCGAGGACGTCGACGAGAGAAGGCAAACAGCGAAATCAGGAGCGCTGCAAACGCGAACGCGAACGCAACGAACGAACAGACGAATAGATCTTTCGTGGCAGTGTGTCATCTTTACGTATTTTTAATTTCTTCCGGTCGGCAGGGTCCGTGCCGTGTGTATAACTTTTCCTCTTGTTCAACGTGATTTCAATCACCGTCGGCATTACGCTTAACGCATACGATTCGATGGAGAATCGCGGATGCTGAGACACGAGCAGAGCAACTGCTGTTACGACAGACGCGCGCAATTTCATTCTCACGATAATCACGAGATTCCCTCGATTTTCTCCCGTACAATGACTTTTTATCGAGCGTCCGTAATCTTTAGTGGAAACAAAACCATTCTTCGCCGAGATTTATCGGACCCGTCTCAGCAGCGGAGTAACGGGGCGCTCGCTCGGGCCGCGCACTCGTGCCGTGCGCACGTAGATAACTTTCTCCGGCGTGATAAGCCGTAAGGTATAAATCTGAATTGTTTTTATAATTCCCGCGGCGCGAGATGAGGTATCGAGATAACGGGGATTCTAACGAAGTCTGTAATTTGCGGACCGCCAACGCCGCGATGACCGCGTGGCCGTGCGCACGTTAGCGAGTCGCGATGTATCGTGATTTAAACCAATCGGCGCCTGATGGATACGGGAGGGGAAAAAATGCACAGCCTCGTTGTGGCGCGTTTATTATTGGGCGATTGTTGCGTTAACCGCGCGGACTTTGAGCCAGTTTCATTTTGTACGAGCTATTTAGAGGAGTCCCGTCTGTGCCTCGGGCGATTCGTTTGCGCACAAAGCGAAACAGCGGTGTGTTAAAGCTAAACCAGTTTAAATCTCGGACGGAATAAAAGGATTAACCGTGATAAACGAGTGACAAAATATTACGTCTGAATAATCATAATGAGGAAGGAAAGTCGAAATTTACGATATGATAACCGAATATACGTATGAATATGCATTTATCTTTCTTTTTTTTTTTTTTTCATCGCGTAAACGATATGAATGTAAAAGCAACATAAATGCGCACGAGTCGTTCGATAGTTTATAAATATGTATGGCCCCAAAGATATCACCGCGCTATAAATATACAGCTCCAATAGACGGTTACGTCTACTAGCACGATATTTCCGATGATTTATATCCGGTGAAACGTAATTGGACATTGCCGTGCAGAGTGCTTCCTACTCTCCGCTGAGCGCGCGATGCTTAAAGCCGATAAAGATCGCCTGCGATAATATTTCGTATTATTTAACATACTCGAACAGTTACGTTATCGGCATTATTATCGGCATTCGCGGGGCAGTGATAGAATTGCAAAAATGCACTGAAGTCTTTCATCGCGAAATCCCTGATGATTTTTCATCCAGAGCCAGTTATTACGCACCGACTTATTACGCACATTCATCCTCGTCTGACGAACGACGAAAAATCCCAAACGAATAATCGTTTCAATTTCTGACAACGAAATTTCAAATATGCTCTCCGCTCCTCCATACATACGTTCCGTATTGGAATCACATATTTCGCCGCAACGTTCTATTAAAATTATCAACTCGGCCAGTAACATGCGGATGCATTGACCGACCGTTCTATTAAGTTCTTTACATCATGATGACGTTAGTTTGAAAGCGGACGTTCGCTGAATGAGCTCGTTTTAGTAAAGCGGTCATATCGAAAGAGAACGAGAGGGGGTAGGGGAAGAAAGACAGGCAGACAGACAGACAGACAGACAGACAGATAGAGAGAGAGAAAGAGAGAGAGAGAGAGGGGGGAGAGAGAGAGAGAGAGGGGGGGGGAGAGAGAGAGAGAGAGAGAGAGAGAGAGGAACAGAACGTACCTGTGCGACGCGTGCTTGTTCGCGGGCAAGCTTCTCTCGTCGCCATGTTACCCTGTTCCCGATACTTTCCTGACGTGTACGAGGGCCAACAAGGAACGAAGGAGATACGATTTGGCGCGAGCCGTTCGCGCGATGCTTTTTAAAGCGTGGCAATATGCGCCGGCGACAACAACTGTCAGTGATATTGAGTTTACCTGCGAACGCGCGTATCGCACGCTTCGGGAAGTATCGGTGAATATATTGGACGCGTGCAAGTTTTAACGTATGCGCGTCGGCGCAAGTATAATAGCATAATAGCATTGTGCCGCGATGTGGCTCGTCAGAAAACGCCCAACTTCCGCTTCTTCCTCCATCCATCTCTCCACCCTACCTCCGGCTACCTGCCTGTTGTTTTCTCTCCCTCCTTCCGTCGTTCCTTGGTCCCGTTTCAATACGGACGGATGAATCGGGTTCATTCGCTTCGGCGCCACCAGACGACTGCATATAAATCGAAACATCGGCACGGAATGCCGGAATAACTCCGTGTGGCAGTGACACCGCATGTATGCAGACGTTGCATGAAAGTTGTGGCATTACCGTTATTAGCCGCTGGTAGCTTCTCGGCTTAGCGAAGCTTATTATACGTAACGCGATGTCATTGAAAGACCAGTCTTGCGATTTTCGTCGACTCTCGAATTTGAAGAACGGGAGCGCTTCCTGAACGAAAAACAATGCCGCTCCCCGTGATATTGATGTTATCCATTTCGCGCTTCTTCATACACACGTCACACGGTAATAATCTCAATTTCATCGCTGCACAAGACACGGCATCGTTCCATTGACCATATCACAAATTCATGGATTTCCAAAGTACAAGAGTAAACTCGGTATACCGGTAGATGAGGTACTGGCACTTTAGGGAATAAGCTAGTGCTCCAATGTCTCAATTGCGAATTACAGAACTCTAAAGTAGGAGAGTAAACTCGGTATAACGCCATTACCTTACCTGCCGATCCGGCTGTAAGCCTAGAATTTGCTTTTCGGAAGTTGGGCTACTCTAATTCGCTAACGTATTGTCGCGACGGCGTGAATTATCTTGTTAATAATGTGATTCGCGACGCGATATCAAAATACGATGTTTATGATTCGAGCATCGTTTAAATGCAGATAAAAATTCAGTTTTGCGAGATAAATGATGAGATGATAAAGCCTGCATGCATAAATTTATTATCAATTATATGTAAGCGAGGTATTCATTTTTAATGTAAACGTTACGTTGTTATATGCATATTTTCATACAGTCGTAGCGGAAACATTATTAAAGCAATATACTCACTCCGGTGCACTTGTAAAATTTGTTCATATATTAATCACATATAATTTCCGACATATTAAAGTCAATAATAAATAATTACATATATACAATCAGCTGTTCACGTCAGCGTGATACGTTATTAGATATCGGTACATATTTTAAATAAATAATTTACAACTTATAATAATTTGATCTATCTTACATAGAGTTGCGACATTGGCAAGATACATATCGCATGTGGAATTCTATTATTATACAAAAGACATTTATCTCATTCTGAGTCCCATTTCGTCAATTTATTGCAATTATCAAGAGTATGAATAAGATATATAAAATTAGCACTTAATGTAGCGTCACGTGTTCAAAAAAGCTAAACTGAAATAATTAATGTGTTGACATAGAAATATATATATGTACTCTGTTACATATAATAAAAGCAATTCTTCCATTTTATGTAAAATACATTAAGCGAATGTAATTAGTTACGAAATGGTGTATTTTCACCACGACGAATAATCAAACAGTAATTGAAGAAATATTAAAGGATGGCATCGACAATATTCATACAATGCAAATGCAGGATATGTAATACGGAATAATCATTCACAATATCATTAATTTTTTTTTAATTGAATATTGTCGTAAATTAAATATATACATATGTATATATTAAATTTCCCTCTCGCGCGGTATCTTTTCAACGTTATCATATCTAATTTCTCGATTTTGCTACAGTCTCAGTTAGAGCACTGCTTCTTATCTTGCCTCTGCTGTCGCGGATGCTGCGGCATCTGCTTTCGCACTTGCTTTTGTCTCATTATCGTCATCTTTCGAGCTGGATGCGGAAGACATGGCGCTGGCAGCGGCTTCGGATTTACTTTCGGCCGCGTTTTTACTTTCAGATTTCGCCGATGCGTCAGCGTTCGCACTAGCTGAAGCCTCCGATGAACTCTTTTCAGATTTATCCTCGTCTTCAGATTTCGCCGATGCCTCAGCGTTCGCACTAGCTGAAGCCTCCGATGAACCCTTTTTGGATTTATCCTTGTCTTCAGATTTCGCCGATGCCTCAGCGCTCGCACTAGCTGAAGCCTCCGATGAACCCTTTTCGGATTTATCCTTGTCTTCAGATTTCGCCGATGCCTCAGCGTTCGCACTAGCTGAAGCCTTTGATGAACCCTCTTTGGATTTATCCTTGCCTTTGGATTTCGCCGATGCCTCAGCGTTTGCACTAGCTGAAGCCTTCGATGAACTCTTTTCGGACTTATCTTTGTCTTCGGATTTCGCCGATGCCTCAGCATTTGCGCTAGCTGACGCACTCGCCGAATCTTTCGCAGATCCATCACTTTCCGAATCTGCTGATGCGTTTGCGCTTGCATCTGCTGTCGCACTTGATTTCCTTTTATCTTCACCTTTCGTTCCTGAATCTTTTGATTTGTCATCATCCGAATTGCCGTCGTCTCCTTTATCACCCGATTTCTGATCCTTTTCATCTGATTTCGTAGAAGCGCTAGCATTCGCATCTGCCGATGCACTGGCATTGCTCTCTTTCCCTTTACCTTTGTCCTTTGACTTCGCTGTAGCGTCTGCCTGGGCATTTGCCGACGACTCAGACTGTTCCTTGTCATCGTCATCCTTCTCCGATTTTTCATTTTTGTCGTCTTTATCGTCATCATCAGAAGATTTTTTCTTACCGCCCGATGTTGCTTCTGCTACCACATTTGCAGCAGCTGTCGCAATAGAAGTTCCTTTCCCTTTACCATTAGCAGCACCAGCAGAGGCTGCGTTTGCTACTGCTTCACTTTTGCTTAACAAAACGCTACTCCCGCTAGAAATGATACTATTAGCATTAGACTTGGCACTGCTTATCGCTCCATTTAAAGCTTTAGATCCTTTTGATTTAGAACTTCCTGATCCAGAATTAGAACTTTTCGATCCTCCTCCTGATTCTGAACCTCCTGATCCAGAGCCTCCAGATTTGGAATTACTTTTTCCGGAGCCTCTTCTTTTGCCCTTTCCATTACCTCCTTTACCTTTTCCGTCACCTTTTCCCTCGCCATTTCCTGCTCCTTCGCCACTTCCTACTCCGCCACCACTTCCTGTTCCGTCACCACCTCCTGCTCCTCCCCCATCTCCTGCTCCCGCGCCACTTCCTGCTCCTTCGCCACTTCCTGTTCCGCTGCCACTTCCTTTTCCGTCGCCATGTCCTGCTCCGCCACCATTTCCTGCTCCGCCACCATTTCCTGCTCCTCCGCCACTTCCTGTTCCGCTGCCACTTCCTGCTCCGCCACCATATCCTGTTCCTCCGCCACTTCCTGTTCCGCTGCCACTTCCTTTTCCGTCGCCATTTCCTGCTCCTCCGCCACTTCCCTTTCCGTCGCCATTTCCTCCTCCGCCGCCATTTCCTGCTCCTCCGCCACTTCCTGTTCCGCTGCCACTTCCTGTTCCCCCGCCATATCCTGTTCCTCTGCCACTTCCTTTTCCGTCGCCATTTCCTCCTCCGCCACCATTTCCTGCTCCTCCGCCACTTCCTGCTCCGCCGCCATATCCTGTTCCTCCGCCACTTCCTGTTCCTCCGCCACTTCCTGTTCCGCCGCCATTTCCCGCTCCGCCGCCATTTCCTGCTCCGCCGCCATTTCCTGCTCCGCCGCCATTTCCTGCTCCGCCGCCATTTCCTGTTCCTTTGCCACTTCCTGCTCCGCCGCCATATCCTGTTCCTCCGCCATTTCCTGTTCCGCTGCCACTTCCTGCTCCTCCGCCACTTCCTGTTCCGCCGCCATTTCCTGCTCCGCCGCCATTTCCTGTTCCTTTGCCACTTCCTGCTCCGCCGCCATATCCTGTTCCTCCGCCACTTCCTGTTCCGCCGCCACTTCCTGCTCCTCCGCCACCTCCTGCTCCTCCGCCACCTCCTACTCCTCCGCCACCTCCTGCTCCCCTTCCTGTTTCTTTGCCACTTCCTGCTCCTCCGCCACCTCCTGCTCCTCCGCCACCTCCTACTCCTCCGCCACCTCCTGCTCCTCCGCCACCTCCTACTCCTCCGCCACCTCCTGCTCCTCCGCCACCTCCTACTCCTCCGCCACCTCCTGCTCCTCCGCCACCTCCTACTCCTCCGCCACCTCCTGCTCCGCCGCCATTTCCTGCACCTTTGCCACCTGCAATTTCAAGAAAATATCAAATATTATCGAATAACGTGTACCATATCAATATGTCATTGATGCATCATAAGACATTTCTTTCTTACCGTTATAGCAACCGCTTGATTTTTTACCATGGCCCAAAATATTTATATCTAGCTACAACGGATGATAAAAAGTATTAATTATTAACTTTTAGCGTATAATTTTCGTGACTAGTTGAAGTGAGATGACATTTCACCATTTCACTGATACGAGTAACATGTTTCAAGTCATTGCGTTAATTTCATTGCACAAGATAATGAAGGGAAATATTTAAACATACCAGTGGCTTATTGCCACCAAATATATTTCCTAAATTGTGCAAGCCGCCTAAAATATGATTGAGACCGCCGGGAAAGGCCACTGCCAGCGGTACAGCAACCGCCAGCAGAATAACAACAATCTTCATGTTTCGTGGAATACTGACGGTTGCAAAAAATAATTCGCCCATTTTATACTCTATGTCGCAATTGTGAAAACACAAGTCGGTCATATTTCCGTCATTTTGCGAAATTTGTTTCTCTTGAAAATGTTATCGATTATGTCGCACTTCGACAGACATTTATTACTACAGATGCCTCAGTCGCATCGCGTACAAAAACATTCTCTCAAAACTTTACACGTAAATAAGCGAGTATATAAGATACAGGAGGTTGATTGAGAGGAATATTCCTTGCCGTTGATCGATTTCCAAATGTAGACAGATTTATAGCTTTGTACTTTATTATTGTTACGCTATTACGAACATTTTGTCGTGTAACAAATTATATTTTTATCCGGAAATTAAGAGGAACCTGCGTCAAACTTTGCATAAGCAAACTTGACACTTGCTTCTATAACTTTTAATGAAAATCATTCATAGTGAATCACACACCTACCCTCTGGTAGGTGAAACATAAAATGTACGATAATAAAATACTAACTGTTTGGCCACTTAAATTTGTTTACATTGCTTAATTGATTCCATGCTTCAATAATAATAAACAAGAATTCCAAACCATAAATATCAGCGATAAAGAAAACTGTTGCGATGTGTATTTTTCTTATCGAGTAAAAAGCATTTTTTCATTTCAATGTTTCTGCACATGGTAAGAGAGGAAGTATTCTTTAAGCTGACAAACTTCAAAGAAAGGACAAGAAAATACACAATGTAACAACATCACTGATATTTATTATATATTATTCAAATATTTCTTTCAAAAATTACTTTTGAGACAAACAATAACGAAGGAAAAACCAACAGTCAATCTCTCTTTCAAAAGAACGTCTTGGTAGAGGAAACACGCGCTTCAGCCACGCGAGAGGCCCCATTAAATTTTTTATTATAAAGAAATGAAAGGAAGACGGCCCTGGATTTTGTGCCGGGATATTTATGTAATGAAATATGCCAACGGAGCCCTAACGAGCCATGAAACAGGCTTACCAGCAGTTAACCAAAGTTCATAAACGTTGCCGTATCCTCCCTTAAATTATCCACTGACCGGCATCATTTTATTACTTATCAGCGTCGTTGATTGGCCGCGGGTCGAATTCGGGCCCGTGTAAATCAAGCTGCGTGGCATTGTTACTTCTTGCAATTAAAATTTTATAATTCGCTAAAACAATCGCACACCATTTACCGCTCGCCATAAAATTTTTCGCCGTATACGCGCGTGCACACGTACTCTGGCATTTTGGATCTCGGCCGCTCGCGAAATACCCCTATATTAAGCATCAGCCTTTTGCGAAACAGTCCGCTCCTCAGACGCTTCTAATTAATTTCATCGCGTAGCGTTGCCATGTTCCGCATCGCGACGAGGGGATTTCAAAGTTAGCCGAGCGAAAGTTCATCAGGATACCTTTGTGTTCTGACCCGGATCTATTTGTAGGCAGCGATCCGCGTTCAGAAAAAGAGACGCGCTGGCTGACTCTCACCCTCTCTCTCTCTCTCTCTCGCTCTCTCTCTCTCTCTCTCTCTCTCTCTCTCTCTCTCTCTCTCTCTCTCTCTCTCTCTCTCTCTCTCCCCCCTCGTTCCTTATTTCGCAGACTTGAATCAGATTGAAATGTCAGAACGAACTCGCGAGAGCGACATTACCGTCGTTCGTCGTTGGTAAATTTTGGAGTTTCGCGTGCAAGTGGTCGCGGTGAAAAACGAGGGGGAGTGAGGATGGGAGAGAGGGGAGGGGGGAAATATATACACGCACGGACCGCCGCCAGTTGGAGGCCCCCATCTCGCTTGCGATGTCGCCGATGTCTTAGAATATTAGCAATTTTCTGCCCGGCTGCGCCGGATGAAGCCGCTCGCCTCTTCTCGTTTTTCCTCCTTTTCCCATGTTATACGCTGCTATCTCGCTGCTATAAACGTGTTTCCTGCAGAAAAAAAGGAGCGGCGACTGTTGGCAATACGGTGGATAGAAAAGAAATTTGCGTTTCTGGTGGCGCGTCGCGATGAGAGAGGACGTATGATGTTTACGTGTGACGCAGGAGCGGAGGAGCGTCCTATCGATCATCCGTGGATTCGCGAGAAAAATATGTCGTTGTCTGCTAACGTCTGTAATTCCATGCAAGCGGAACACGCTCCTCCCGTACGAAGCTTATAAAATCGTCGTATCGTTGAAGCGACGAACAATCGCGCTACGTGCTGTCTAATCCGTCATAAATAATACGCGTATCATTCGCGCACTCGTACACATATTACAAGAGCCTCGAGCGTGCAAATATTTTCAGACCGATGCGAGCCGATTCGAGTGGCAGATACAAAGGGTGGCGGATAGAAAGAGTACAATGAAACGGCCGGGGCGCTCGCGGCGATAATTGTATGTTGCACTTCCTACAAATGTAATAATTCAGTTCGCGAAATCTATCGTTCGAATCTTGGGAAGGTACCTTCGCACTTTCCATTCCCGTTCTATTGATGGTCTCGCGTTATGCCAAGCGTTTGCTCGATCCCATGCGAGCTTATCGCGACACGGTATGTCCTATTTCCATTACGCGGCGTTATTAACCGCGCGCGGCAAGCGAAGTGTTACGAGGAATGTTACGGTCCCTTTGATCTCGCGTCGGAAATCATTTCTGTTTGTTAGCGACGCGCGCGCGTCCGTCGCTCGACGGAATATCCATGATCCACATTTGGAATACGCGAAAGGGAAAGATCTCCGGAAGAAGGCCTTGCTGTATATGCCGAATAAATCGAGGGAGAAAAAATAAAAGGACGACGGAAACGGGACAACGTAAAGTCTGAGCGTTATCCGAGGAAGCGTGGGTCTCGGATTCAGTCGAGACGTTTACCTAAATCGTCCTGTATCTGATCCAGTTTCGAATGGCGAATGTAAAGTAGGTGCTCGATTTCCATCGTCTTCGGAACGCGCCTTTCTCTTTCTCTCGCTTCTTCTTCCCCTCTCCACCTCTCTGACTCTCTTTCTTTCCCCGGGAAAGACGGGAAACGGCGTGGGGTCGTCGACATTTGGATATAATTCCTCGCAACAGCATGTGGCAAGGAGGAGGCCTCAATGAGCGATCGATTCGTGAAAATTTAATTACGCGCCGAGAGGCACGGACGGGCATGGCGGATCCTTGAAACTTTCATCAGGCAGCAAAGGATCAATAGTCATTCTCTCGCGTGACCGAGATGAATTTTAGCGAATGCACTTCATTTTATCGCGGCGAACGTAATAACACGGCCAGCTGCAAGCGTGTATTTCCAAGTGCTACGAGTACTCACCGTTTGCAAAGTTTGCTCTGTAAATACACATTCTGTTATGGGATATTGCGAAGTACGTTTAATAACATTTTCCAAACCAGAGACATCACACGCGCAACGCGCAACGCGCGTCGTTGTTTATGGCTGTAATTTAATTAGAAAGTTTAATAACAGCGCGTTAAAGTAATTTCCACATTCTGAAAGAGTAATCGCCGTCGAGCGAGGACGACGATTGAAATTGCGCCGGTGCTCTTTCCGTACGAAAGGAATATATCATATTGGCGTATAAACGCTGAAAAACGGCGGAAGAGTCACGATCTGCGTGTATGTATGTGCGCGGTGTACATCGAGCAGGAACGGCATTAATCATTTTATCGTCGATCTTTGCGAACGTGCGAGAGGTTAGTGTCACTGCCAGTTGCAGAAGTACGTACCTAAATTCTCAATTTACCCGACGACGGGATATATCGTTTGGAAAGTTTCTAGTTAAATGTTTGTTCGCAGAAAGCGATTCCGTCTTTCTCCACGAAGACGCGGCCCCGCTCGCCGTGGCTCGTGTTCGACTATCGCGAATAATTCTATTTGTTTAATTAAGCGTCTGTTACCATCGACTTGGTGAGTTTGTAAGCTTAATAGAACGAAACGCTACGACCGCGCACACACACACACACACACACACACACACACGCAGCGAAACGTTTGTTCGCGCGAATGTACATCGCGCTATAAAAGCGTAATCAAGTGCCGGTATACGTGAGATTTCGGTTCCCCTCGGATTTTCTGTTCCGTAACGCTGATTGAGAAAGTTTCGTCGTCGTGCGTATATTTGGCGATTTAGCAATTACACTCGAAAGACTAGGCCGAGGAACCGTCCTCCGCGGTATCAATTGAGACGCCCGACATTCCGTGCCGTGACACTCAGCCGAGATGTCGAGGGCACATTAGAGGGCACGTGCGTATTCTTGGCGAACGTGTTGCGCGCAGTGGAAGTAATTAAAACTTTCTTGCGTTCGCACTTGGTAACAGGATGGTGCGCGCGCGCGCGCGTTCCGTTGAACGCGTATGCACCCGACGATTTCTATTCCGATTCACCGCCGATTCGTATGCAAAGTAATGCGTTTGAAAACTTCTACGATGCGCCGAGTCCTTTCTTCGAATTAATATTGAAATCACCGCCGAGGTGCCGAGAAAGAAAACAGATTCGCGCTCGCTTTCTCTCTCTCTCTCTCTCTCTCTCTCTCATTTCGGATGCGCATTCGCATGCATTTTCAATTTCGGTGAAAAAACAATCTCGTCGAGGGTGAAGGATGAGGATAGATGGGCGGATGAACGAGTCGGCAGGTTGGCAGGACATATAGCTCGAGTCGATCGCTAGCGCGTGATTAGAGCAAGTCGCGCCGTCGCCGCGAAATATCAAGTGCGATTTCCTCTCGAGGGCGAAGAAGGGGGAGGGAGGAAAAGGAAGAGAGAGGGGAGAAAGAGTGAGAGAGAGCGCCAGCGAAATCACCGCCGAACGCTTTCTTAATTAAAAAGCCATTTATGTACAATGGCTAGAATATAATCACGCATCTATTCTCAAGCGCGACTTTCGAGTCAAGCTCGTCGCGTCGCTTTTACCGCCACGTAAATCACGACGCTCTATTGATCCTCGCGCACAGAGAGTTAATTAATCCGCTCACGGTGGTAACAGCTAATGAATCTCGCGGCAACGGTTGAGCCCTAAGTTTTGCGCGAGACATGCAGAAATATTATATCCCGAGCTCCCGAGAACCCGTGAAAGGGAATCTCCCCCGAACGAGGTCCCGATTCGTCGG